AAAAATCTTATCCAGCTCTTTCATCCACTCCAGCACCGCTGTGGGGTTCTCAGTCCCCGCGAAAGTCGGTGCATTCATCCTCTGAAACTAGACTATGAGCTGAGTAAGGTCCATGTCCAGAGGGGCCTGATGAGGACGACGAGGAGGAGAAGGAGATGGGGATGGCTGACGGTTACGGTTGTTGCGGGTATTCATAGCTCTACACTGAATAGGCCGAACAAAATTAGCACAATCATATAGGAAGTCTAGAGTTCAACACTAGAGTTCGCATTTAAAGGTGGAATAGCCCTAACCCCGATTTCATTCCATTAATCAATAATCAACCAATATACAATAATCTCAAAGTCATTCAGGTACTCATACCTGAGCTGGCGCGGCACGACGAGAGCGAGTGGTCTTAACATGAATTCGAAACACATAAACACATAATCAACTTTTTATACTTAAACCAGTCTACAGAAACGCAGACTGGCTCTGATACCAAACTGTAACGCCCCACTTTTATTTGCCAAAATTCAGGATAAATTTTTCGAAATTTATTTTCAAATACAATATTTGAGGCGCTACTTATTCTCAAATCAATATTTAATACTTATCAATCATCAATACTCATTCATCAATAATCAATAATCCCAATAATCAATAATCCAATCTAAGCATTCCAATAATAAATATTCTAGGGAATACACTCCCTATCAATAATCCAATAATCAATGATAGAGAAATCAATAATAGCAACATACAGTTCAAGGCGGAAGCAATTACAATAATATAACGACCACCACTCGCCTCCCTCCGTCGTGCCCGCAATACAATCCTGCATCCATGAAGAGTAGGTGAGGATGAGCACAAGAGGAAAAGTAGTGCTCACCACTATGCAGTAAATGCTAATCTCAATAATCGTCAATGTTCAATAATCAAAAGGTATGGTCTCAGCATGTATACGAAACAATAAACTATCCCATTCTCCCATCAATAATATAATAATCAGACTCATGTGCATACCTACGCATAGACTACTGCTGATACTCGATTCGAACGCCAAGACCTACGAATTGGTCTTACAACGATGCCCAACCAGTAGGAGTAACCCACCCCGCCGGCCAAAACCTACGAATTGGTCTTACAATCGGGGATCACCGGCTAGAACCTACGCCCTGGTCTTACGGCTCTCAAGGGAGACTACACAACAGGTACGTTCTATAGCTACGGGGATAACCGTTCGGTGGCCGATACAGCTCACACCGAAGGCTACATGATTCACATGCATACTTTGATCATACCACAATTAAACAGTAATAACATTTAAAGCATAGTAATTTTTACAATTACAACCCACCTAGTATCGGTTGATAAAGAAATTAGTTAGAAGGTCGTAGGTGGTCGAAACACTGCTCTTCAGACACCTACATAAG